GTGTGTGTCTCTCTCTCTCTTTTCCCTTCTTCTTAGCCAGGCTTATTTCAAACTGGTAAATATCTAATTCCTTTAACTGCCGCTCTGTGCACACGAATCTTTTAGGTACAGACGCCTTGAAATGGCCGCTGCGCTGCGGTGCGCGCCCGGAGGTGAACACAGAACCCGCGAGTCCTCGCAGCGGGGAACCCCCACTTGCCAGACTCCAGCAACTTCTGTGTGCCGGGGCTTCTTCCCCTAACGCCCCCTCCCCCCTACCCGCCCGCCCTGTCCGTGCTCCTGCTTCCCAGCAGCATCCCGGTCCCTGCGGCATCCCCGGTATCCCGGAGGCATTCCCAGCAGCCAGGCCCAGCGGTTGGTTGTGGCCCTGCGAAATTCGCGCTCCTCTCGGCACTCGGTAGTTCTCTTGTTTATAAAGTTTGTTTTCTGAATGTCTTCTATTAGATTACGCTCTTTCATCGCCCCTCCCCAACCTTATCTCCTTCTGTCTCTTCTCTCCTGGCCCGTCACACTAGATTTAGGTACCCGTTTATCTGGAGCGCAGTTTGCAGACTTTATTTACCGCGGGATGCGGGGCTGAAAGCGTGCGAGCGCGTGTTCGCCTTTGTAACAGTTTTCGCCGCATTGTAGTGTCGTTTAGTCTCAGCCCCCTCCTCCTCACTCTTGTCTTGGGTTCAGAGGGATGGGGGGGGGGGAGGCTTGTCAGCTCAGTGTGGGCTCATCCCCTCGCTAGCATCGCCCCCACCTTCCCGCGCCCCATCCCCCACCGGACCGTGGGGCCTTCAGGGTCCCCTCCCACGCTTGCTCTGTTCCCTTCACATCCGTAGCGGAGCGCTGCCTAAAGCCGAGGAATTGCCTGACACCCCCTGTCTTCCTCGGAGCCCCCATTATGCGAGGCTGATCCTCCTCTGAACAGACTCAAATCCCGCCTGGACTGTGTTTGATTAGATTGCCAACCCGGGGTAATCCTTTGATTTGGTGGAGTGTCAATTACCTTTCTCTAAACACACATTTACAGAGGAGGGAAGTTGTAGGTTTAAATCAATGCAGATCGCCTCCTGATAAATGGGCCGACTAGGTGCCCTCTCCGCCCAGCCCTCTTCTCCAAGGCCCTTCCCAACCCCCTTCTCACCTATCCCCTCAAACAGCTACCTTTCTAGGTGTGAAGTCTCAAAAAAAAGAAAGAAAGAAAAGATAAGAGAAAAGAAAAGAAAAAGAAAAAAGAAAAGAAAAAGTGTGGGCTGTGAGGAGCCCTACCCCCCCTTCCCCTATTCATTCGCTCCCCCGGAGCCTAATTAAATTTGGCAGGTCCTTGTACACACAATCAAAACAGCTTCCTCCGGTGCGGCAAACGACCGAAAACCGCATTAGCAGCCATCGCCGCTGCCAAATTAAATTGTTTCCCACCTCCTTTTACAAGTGTCTAAACCCGACACTTCGGGCTCTCCCCTCCTCTCCATCCTTCCCGTCATATCCCACTCCACACCTGTAAGTTTGCCTTTCTTCAAATAAATTAAGGGGAAAATGCAAAGAAAACAAACCTAAGGCCTGAGCTATAGCTCAGTGGGAGAGCGTGCTTGCCTAGCATGTGCAAGACTCCAGACTCCGGTTCATTCCTCTCTACGGGAAAATTAAGTCCTAGTCCCCACCCTCCTCCCAAGCCTTCGATGGCCTTTCACACTCCAGACTCTTCTCCCTTTGGACCCTGATACTCATAGGTATTCCTGGCCACATAGGCAAACAACTTCTCATCTCCTGGTAACTTTTGAGTGTTTTGTGTTAATTATAATCCCTCTGGGTCTTGTACCCTAGAGAGCAATCCCATGTCTGATGTGCTCATCTGGGGCTTCAACTTAAACATTGTCAAATGCCTGCAGCTTTGGCTGCTGGTCATATAGTTATTGTTACTTTACTGTGTATTTCCCTCCACCTTGCCTCTCTCAGTAACAACAGAATCCAACCCTTGTTTAAAAGCACACCCTTATCAATTTCTTGGGGGAAATCTTTTTCTTTCTCTACCTTCTCTGCTCAGATCCCTAGCAGGCTGGCTCTTGGAGCTGCCCACCCCCTGATTCTTGGGGAAAGGAATGGAGAGGAGAGGATCCAACCCATCAAGGGTGCAAACTGTCCCCTTCCTTCCCCAGGTAAGTTGAGAGAGACTGCAGTCCCTATAGGCAGCAGTCCTGAGAATTCTCACAAGCAACAATCCTAATAACTCAGTCTTAACTAGGATAAGAGGGAGAGAGGGGGAAAAGCCCACAGTCTCATGAATATCAGCCCAAGGGAAGCAGGAGTGAGCCGTTCAGAGATGAAAGTGCGGAGAAATAAAAGCTCAATTTAATCTGCTTTAAAACCCTTCAACTTAACGTTTGTGCTTCAAACTCTGAGAGTGAAGACTGATTGCGGATAAATAGTTTCTTACCATGCCTGGAAGCTATTACACCCCTCTCCAACACAGCTTCCTATTCAGCAGCCTCAGTTTTCATTACCAGCTCTAATAAGTCTTAACGTTATTAAATGCCAAGCGGACGATAGGAAGAAACGAACTCAGGGAGGGATCTCTCTTTAGCGCTTAAAGAGGAGCTCTCTTAAACCCCTCTTTGGTGGCTCCCCACCATGAGAGGGGCAACCCTGGGAGAAAGCATTTGTCAAAAAGCAAGAAGCCAAAACAAAGTTGTGTGTGTGTACCCCCGTCCCTTGCTCTGCCCATGGGAGGGGGTACATGGGCATCTGGGCCCTCTCCGAACTCCTACAACCCATGCCCAGGCTGGAGTGGTTTCAACTCAGCTGCAAAATTGATGTCTAGGGTCTAAGAGATGAGCAGTCCTCACAAGCCTGTCAACCAACAGGCCAGAGTTCACACTGTACACCAGATCTGTCTAGAATGAAAACTGCCTCTCACTTGAACCACCACTGCCGATCCAAAGTCGCCTATGATCAAGCTACAGACTCTTGCCTGCTAGGACATTCCTGACCCGATCCAAAGGCGCATAGTAGGTATACAGCCAGCCACCCAGAGGATGCAAGCACCCCCACAGCCATCCAGCGCCCGCAGAGCACTAATTCACACCCCCAGAGCAACTCAAACCCTGGGGATCTGTCAGGACACCAGCCCCCCTCAAAAAAAGCCAGTTCACTCTTGCAGCTACACACCCAACACTTGTGTTCTCAGCTGTCCCCATCTGGAAGGGACAGGTCTCTTTTCTAAACCCCAGGAGATGGGAAGCATCCTGGGTCTCCAGCAGGGAAACCCTCTCTCCACTGAAGCCTCCGGTTCATCGGTTTGTTTTGTTGTTGTTTTTGTGAGGCCCGTGAATTCTCTAAGTCCTAGGGGTTCCCCCCAAGACACAGCTTTTTTTCTTTTCTCTTCCCTTTCTCCAGGCCACTGACTTCTTGCATTTCATCACACATGGAACTAGACACATTCCCCTTCATGCACACATGCAAGCCATCTTCAAACAAACTGAAATATCCCAACCAATTCTAGGGGCAACTCCTAGAGGCACTTGGTGCATAGCATGTCCCTTGGAAAGATTATTCAGATTCAAAGTCCACCAGAAGCATGACTGGTTTTTAAAAAGAAAAAAAAGTTATATTTGTCTTTCTGATAAAGATAGACAGATAAATCCTGGGTCCCCAGGATGGAGTCCCTGGGCTCTGGGCAGAATGGCCAAGCTAGCTTAGCGGCAGACCCCAGGCCCCTCTGGCAGGCAGGGCACAGCAGGGCACCACGCAGGACTCTGGGCCTTTCTCCCCGGGCACTTTTGTCCCTGGAGGGACAGCAGCTCCTCCAGGGGCCCCCAAAAGTGTCAGCAGCCTGCCCTTCCCTTGCAAGAACTGCACTAAGAAGGGGGCTGCCTCCTCCTGATCCCACCCCCTTGGGTTGAGTTGGTGGGATTGGGCCTCTGTCTCTGGGAGTTGTCTTTAGAAATGGGCTTTTGTCCATGAAGTTCATCATCAAGGTTGGGGGGCACTCCTGAAAACCAGAGAGACCTAGACTGGCGGTGCCGAGAAGGGGATCTGCAGAAACTTCTGGAAGAATTCTTGAACAACAACGGGTCCTTAGTAGACGTTCTCCACTTTCCCCAAAGACACCTGGTTTTCGGGTTCATTCTGCCTCCCTGGCATGTGTGTTCCAGGCACCTTCTCCCCAGCTTCCGACCCCGGGTCAGTCTTTGTGATTCTTAAGTCTTCAATCCCCACCCACCCCACCCTTTGGCCCCACTTTCACAAAGACAAGAAAACTTCCACAGGAGTGACAAAGGAAGACTTCCCCATCCAGAAACAGGCCTGGGCGCAGGCGCTTGAAAGATAAACTTCTGCCTTAGCTGCTCCGGAGAAAGCTGAGTGAGGGAAGCCTAGCAAAGGTTGGGCAGCGGATGTGGGGCGCCTGACTCTCTCTCTGAATCCACCGACCCTTGGCATCTGGGAGCTTGGCCTCCAGCCCCCGCCACAACAGTGCTTGCCAAGAGGAAAGCACTCGAATGCCCCCACTCCTCCCTGGCCATGCGGGGCCGAGAAGCGGCCCGCGCGTGCGGCCCGCGCTAATTTTTATTGATTGCAGCGGTCAGTCAGCTGTCAGGCCGGGTTTCAAGGGACCGTTTAGAAAGCGTGTGCGGGTCTGGTTAACAAATTCATTTAGGGAGCCCCGGGCGGGTTCCTCCTTCCTCGCTCTCCTCCCTGCCCCCTCCAAGCTTGCCCAAATTTTCTATAAATAATTGATCAACGCCAAAACGCCATCTCTGGAGGATGCTCAAGCTGTGGGCCAGTGCGCGGTGGTGACAGCTGAGGCGCACGCCTGTGCTATCCCGCAGCCACGCTCCCCTGAGCTGGCTTGGTGGGGAGGGGTAGACCGGCGCAGGTAAAGCTTTCAAAACCCTGGCTGCCTGCAACCTGCGACTTTTTCCGGCTGTCCCAGCTGTTAATCCGCAAAGTCCTCACCGCCAGCCAGCGAGGGAAAACATGGTCGCCGACGTCGCGGGTCGCGCGGCGGGTCTTACCTTTGTCGCCCAGGATGCCGTCGATGCTGTGTTTGGCTTTCTTCTCGCCATCTTCCTCTTTCTTGTCCCCTTCCTCATCGTCTTCTTTCTTCCCGAACTTGATTCTGAGCACTCGGCTAATCGAACTCACTAAACCTCAGAAATTAAAGGCAAAAGAGAGAGTATAAGTTATTGGGGCCGAGGACCAGGAGGCAAAAGGCAGAGAGACCCATTCTCGGCTCCCTGGCACCCAGGCATTTCAGGCTTGCTCCAGCAGCGGCTTAAGAAACCCAGGTCACCCCTGGGGCGTACATGCCCAGGTAAGCCCGAAGAGCACCCATCAGGTGCTTCTCAGTACATGTCCGACTGTACACTCATCAGGTGACTGACCCTATCTCGTGCCCTACATGCGCCGGCAACATGCCCACTGCCCGAGTGCCACCCAGAGTACCCCAGCCCTTGCTGCAGCTATGCAGGTGTGTCCTAGCCCTGCATGCCCGCGCACAATCGTACAGTCAGACACAAATTGAGTAGCTTTTCTAGTCTGAGATCTGAACTTCAAAGCAGAGGTGCCAGTTGGGCGTGTGGGGGAGCTGGCATTCAGGGACGTCAACCCTTCTAGGGCAGGTGGCTCTTTCTCTAGATCACTTTCCCCAAATCTCAAGGGAACCCCACCTTCGAGGTTAACTTCTTTCCAGCACCCTCGCCTCCCTTCCTCTCTCCCTTCCTTCTTCGAACCTCTCCTTTTCCAACTTTCTATCCCTCTCTTCCTTCTAGTCCTCCTGCTTTTACTTCTTTTCCGGGCTTAACTGTTTTCCTCTCAGGTGCCACCCGCCCGCCCACCCATCTCTCCAGCCCCACACTCTGAATCCCCAGCCAGACTCCCTGCCGGTTCTGCCAGCAGCTCAGCGGCCTTCTCACCTGAGGGCACGGTGCTGCGGTCGCAGTGGCCGTCCTTCAGCAGCCGGTCCCGGATTTCCCAGCTGAACATTCCGGGGTTTTCCCTCTTGTACTCCTCAATCTTTTTCTCCACATCCGGAGTCGCCACCTGCTTCAGAAGTGGAGGTGGGATAGCGGGAATGGAGAGGCGGGGTGGGGGGAGGGAAACAGTTTTAGTATCAACCTCCCAAAAAGCTCCCAGCCCGGCTGGCTGCTCCCAAGGGCCATTTCCACTGTCTGGTGACTACCGTGCCCTTCCTCCTAAGATGGCCTTTAGGTTTTTCAAAGAAACTGTTCCTGGCTCCCAGGATGGCATTAATGGGGGCAGGGATAAGTAATGAAATAAAATAAAATCTAATTCGCAATCCTGCGGTCCCCACCACCACCACCTCAGGCAACACCGAAGGGAGATGTCCTGTGTTGGGGGCAGATGTGGGGATATTGCAGTGAAAAATTATGGGCTCCAAAGTCTTGGACAATCTAGAGCTCAGCTAACCCATCCTTCAAATTTTCATATAATGGGGAAGTATTTGAGAGCTACGGGGGAGCTCCTACAGTCTTTTCCATGGGAAGCTTGCTGGGTGACAAGAATGCTGGGTGACAGGAATGCTGGGTGACAAGAGACAGTGAGTGAGGTGACAACCAAGGTCCCCAAACTAGGGAAGGTCTGCTGCCAGCCTCGGGGGCAAAGACACTCACTCTGGGCTTGCTGCCACCGATGGCCCCAGGCCGGATGGACCCAGTCTCCTGATACCGGCACAGGATCTTGGAGACACAGCCATGGGAGACTCGGAGCTGACGGGAGATGACGCAGGGCCGAATGCCGTGGTGGGCCATTTCCACTATCTTGTGACGGATATGGTTTGGCAGGGGTCGCCCGTTGATGAAGACCCCACCAAGCTGATTGACCCGGCCTTGGCCTAGAGGGGTGGACACTGGAGGAGGGAGGGAAGGGAGGGAGATGATGAGCGAGAATAACTCAGAACAAGGTTAGGGTGGGAGAAGGGGAGCTGAGACCCAAGGCTTCCAACAGCTGATCTCCAAAGTCTCCAGGAAACCCTAGGAGGCTCCAACAGGGAGAAGGAGGAGGGCCCTGGCTTCAGAACTGTGGCTGGTTTGTCTCCCAAAGTCACTCTACACTGCAGGAAACGAAGATACACCTTTCCGTGGATTACTGAAGGGACAGAGAGTGGGGCCTGCCGGACACTAGAGAGCCTAGTAGCAGTGGCAAATGGTTTTGGGCCATAGCTTGAAGTCACAGGCCTGTTGCCTCTGGAACAGGCCAGTTCCACAACCCTGGCTGTCAGGACTCCGTCATCAGAAGGCCTCTCCTCTCCCAATATTTACAGCTCTGGCTTGAGCAGCCTGGCTTGTGCCAACTAAGTATTTGCTGTAGGGAGCACAGGTCATCCCTTACTGGATTCCCTTTGCTTCCAAACACCCTCCAAGTTCTCATTTCGTTTGGGGACAAATTGGGAGCACATGACACAATTACCACCAGCTCCAAAACACCCCACTTGGTCTCAGAAATGCAATAAATGTCCCAGAAGTCCTTGCTGCAATGAAGATGGGTCACTCTGTGTGTGTGTGTGTGTGTGTGTGTGTGTGTGTGTGTGTGTGTGTGTGTGTGTGTGTGTGTACCGGGAAGATAGGCCCTACCTGGTATGTTCTGGGGAGGGGAGAACTCAGGCAGGCCTTAATGCAAAGTCTACACAATTTTATCACAGAAGGTTGGGGGAATACCCGGTGCACTAATCCGGCCTCGATACCCCCAATTTGGGGACTCGCGGCTGCAGAGATCTGGAAGATTACAACGATTTCACAGCGGCCCAAGCGGAGAAAGCAGATAGAATAATTGGAAAGGAGGAGGCTAGAAAAGGCTCAGGCGGCCGAGCTGTTCCTACCGCCCCCCTCCTTACTTTCCTGCTCCCCCCACCAATTTCTCTTTGTAAAAGTAGGTATCTGAAACCACCCTCGGATTTAATCAGAAATCGTGCGTCGCCAAGCCAGAGTCACTCGGTCTCCGTGGCGGGATACGCCATTAGCGCTGGAGAGCTCTCGAACGCCCAACTTTATATTCAAGAGCCTCTTTAGCGACCGGCACTCGGCTCTCCTCAGTATTCTGCGTCATGTTGGGCAAATATTGTCCTAATCCTTCGCGCGTCCTCAGCCGCCTGTTTTGCTTGCATTGGTTCCAGGAGAGGGCTCCGGCAAATCCCCGGCTGCCGCACTCTCCCGCCTGCGTGGCCGCTCGCGCACACTTGATCACGCAGCCCGCTCTCTTCGCCTCTGTCTAATTCGGGGACCCGGCGGCTTCTCGCTGCCCGAGGGGGGTCTCCCTCCCCAGACTGCAGGCTGCCAGACCGCCCCTTCTTGCCTTTTCTCCCCATCTTCCCGCACCCGCAAGTGGGGCCCACACAATGACAAGAGGGGCGGCTAAAAATAACTGTTTCTAACCGTTCCTGTGACACCCGCCCTGGTCTGCCTGACCCGAGGAAGCGGATGACCCTTCCATGACTGGCTGAAAGCCTTGCCTCAGTTTAAATAGAAAAGGGAGGGGACGCAAAGGGCCCCTTCTCCTCTCCGGTCCCGTCACCGCCTGCTGGTCCCTTCGACTGCCCAGAGTGGCTAAAGAATTTGGCTCAATACGTTTCATCACCAAGACAGTCCCCTGGATTGGACATTGTTGTATCCTCTCTCTGTCTCGAGTTTCTCTTCCGGGACGTTTTCAGACTTTGGAAAGAACGAGGGAAAAGTTGTGTTTTGGGTGTTCTTGTTTTTGAGGAAGAATATGGTACTATGTATTATTTTCAATGAGTTTGTTTCCGGGCCGAAAAGACATGCCGAATAATAAGTTTGCTTTGGAGGAAGCGGACAGTTTGGTAGGGTAGGAATAGAGAATTGCTTGTTGTTATTTCGGAATAAAAGGGGTTGGAACCCCATCCCGAGGCTGAGGGACCGATTCAAAACTAGGGAAGAAAGCCGGCGGCACTGTGCAGAGACCCGGGAACTACGCGAAGTGTCAGAAAACAGTGGGAAAAACTGAATTTACCGGAGCGCAAAACGGGCCAGATGCAAACTCCCCGGGGAGTCGCACCCCGCGGGGAAAGGTCCGCCGCCCGTGACCCGTGAAGCCCGGGCCACGGGTCAACGGAACCCACGCAGAAACCGACAAGTGTCGGCTCTAGAAACTTCCCGGGTCGCACACAGAGACTCGAGCCAGCAGAGCCGGGGAAGACCCGTAGCTCGCTCCCTCGGGAGGGTGCATCTCCGAGGCCCTGGGGTACCCGGTGAAGGCCTCCTGAGCGCTCTTACCTTCCAGAGGGAAGCCGGTGCGCGGGTAGTTCTGCCCCGGGCCGGGTCTCATCATCCTGGGGACTGCGCCGGGCAGCGCCGCCATTCCTGTGCACGCCGGAGACGAATCCAGAGTCGGTTGGAGAAACCTTTCGGCGTCTCTTCTTTTCACCCCTGCTGTGATCCTCCTCTGCTCCTCTCTTCTCCCCCCGGCCCCCCAGCCTCTTCCCCCTCCCTTCTGCACCCCCCCCCGGCTGCAGACGCGCCCCTTCCAGAAGCTTGGCGGGGGGGTGAGGTGGGGGCGGAGGAGGGAGGGAAGGTGGCGACAAGGAAGTTCAAACAAATAAACACTCCAACCCCAAGTCCGCCTGCACCCGCCAGGCCCGGCCAGAAGTTGAGTCGAGTGACAACGGCAGCTACGGGCCCTGCAGGCCGGGCTCTTCGTCCCCAGCTGCGCCTTGCGGGCCACTCGCTCCCGCGCTCCCGGCCAAAGTTCCTGAGCCGAGAGATTGCGGAGTGGATTTCTTTGGGTCTTTATTTATGTATTTATTCTCAGGGTCTGGCTCGGGCTCCCTCCTCTCCTGGATCCCTCCTCTCCACGCCTCTTTCTGCTCGCCCTCATACCCTGTCCCCAGGAGGACTGGAGCGAGGACGCGCGCCTGCTCGGGTTTCTGACTAGAGAGGAGGCGACCCGAGTGACAGGGCTGGGGATGAGAAGAGGAAAAGCGAGGGGGCGCGAGCGATCAGCTGGGTAAGTTGTGCAAAAGTGCTCAACCATAGGGGAGGGGAGGGAGCGGGCGACAGCCAGAGAGATCTGATAGGCTCGGACTTTTCTTTTATTCATGAGGAGGGAAGGGGGCCAGTTCGGGAGGGAGAGGGACTGCTAACGAAAAGAAGTCGCCAACGAATATTTTTTCTTCCTTTCTAGTCGCCAACTCGACCCCCCCCCCTCTCTCTCTCTGCGGGGGTGGTAGGGGAGGGAGATAATTTGAACCTCTGGTGAAAATAGAGGGAACAGAGTCCAGGGATAGGGTGGGCTGGGGGTGCCCAGAGAGAGGGCGGGGACAACTTCTTACAAGTGTGGTCCAGAGATGAACTGGGGGGGGGGTGTCTCGTGCTTCCAGCCGGGATGGGTCCTCAGGACTGCCCTCAGTGTCTCCCTGCTGTCTAGGAAAGCGGGCCTTGTGCGGGGCGCATCCCTGTCCGCTCCTGCGGTCCCTCACCTCCCGGAGTAGAGCCCATCTTTCCCACCTCTTCTCCTTTTAACTCACTAGTTCTGAACTTTCCTTGACATCGACTCCTTTCCTTGGGGGAACATACTGGGGTGATGTCCAGAGAAACATTTTTAGTTCTCTGGTACGACGTCGGGGCTTTTACTGCTTTGGTCTGGCAGCTCGGAGAAACCCGGCAGGACATACCTAGCCCGGTGGTGGCAAACCTGGGTCTGCCAAACCCCCTCTGCCTCCTTCTCTTTCCAGCTCTCCCTCCTCCGGCTCCTAGGCCACCACCTAGGACCCCTTACTAGAAAAATTCGGGGTGTCCCGAAAGCACACCCGCAAGGCTGTGGATGTGGGAGGCAGGTGGGAGATAAGCAGGAGATAGCTGGGCAAAGCTTTGTACCAACTCAGCTCCTCCACTGGTGGGGTGGTGGCGCCCCAATTAGATGGTCCAGAGTGCTTGTGGGTTTGGTCAGAGGTCCCACAATTCTCTGCTCTCCTAAGCCAGAGTAACCAGCCTCAGCCTCAGGACATAGATTCCTAGGGGTGAAACGCCCTCCCAGCGGGGTAGGACGCCACGACCACAGACCTTTTGTGTCCCCCCCCCACCCAGCACACCCCCAACACCCCAGGAAAACGCCTAGCTGGCCCAGCCCTGGAGGTAAAATACAATAAAATAAACCCACCCCCCCAAACTCCCCTCCCCGCCTTCTTCTGGTGAAGGAGAGGGACTGTCTGGTGTTGGCCTGGGGGTGCTCTCTGCTGGCCGCAGTGGGTCCTCCCTCCTTCTCACCTGTGACCTTTGCCCTCTCAGCATGCTACTGACTCTCCTACCATGGGGGGTGGTCAGACTTTTGGGGGCAGGCTTTCTCCAGGGATGTGAAAAAGCTTGCTAAATACTTGCTTGCGGGGTTGAATGGGAAGAGAGGAGAGACCGTTTAGTTTTAGACCGTGTTGTCTGAGCCACAGACGCCCTCCTCACCAGCCAGGCTGGGAGACAGAGTTTTTAGCCTGTAGTTTGTCCAGGGAGAAAGGAAACCTGACGGGAACCCAGCCTGTCTTGTCTTGAAGTGGATATTCATTTTTTAACTAATTAGTTTATGTGCATTGGAACTAGAATTACAGACAGTTGTGAGCCTCCATGTGGGTACTGGGAATTGAACCCAGGTCCTCTGAAAGAGCAGTCAGTGCTTGCTTGCTGGTAAGCACTGAACCATCTCTCCAGCCCCAGATCCTCATTTTTATACAAACATGTCTGTGTCCGTGTATCTCTCTCTAAACTTACACAACAACAATGGTGTGTTCTCATTGAGTCATACATCTGCTCCCTGGCATGGCAGGGTTTTAGGTGGCCTCCTATGTATGATGGCTTGGTCCCAGTGTACTCATGGGTGGGCGAGAGTGACTTTCATAGACATATTCAGGTTTTTATGTGCAGGTGGGATCTGTGTATATCCGTCTTGGGTCAGTCTGGGTAAATTAAATGTGGGTCCCTCAACAGAGGTGTAATGTTGCAGATTCCATGTGTGTTAAGCATAGCTCTAAGCAAAGTCTGGGAAGGGGTGGTGGTCTATATTTTGATTAGCTCCCCTGGGGGGGTTGTCTGCCACCTGGGTTGTCAGGTCCCGTCTCTCTGTTATCAGCCCTGCAACTGGTACATGGCTGGAGTGGGACAGACACCCAGCTGGTCACCTTGTGCAGGGCGGGTGCCGCTGGGATCCTCAGACCGGTGGTTGGGGGCATCTTCCACTTTCTACCCTCCAGGGAGGAAGACACAGAGCAGCGGCTCACTACCCAGGCCCTGTGCTGGCCATACTGCCTTCCTGCAGCTGGGGATCCCCTGAGCCTGGGAGGGCAGGCACCAGGGGGAGGAAGCCGGGGTTGTCTGTCAGAATGAGCGTGGCCGTTCTTGCCTGTTGGAGACCAATTTCACAAATGATTTTTGCAACAATTAAGAAGTGTGGCGGGGTGAAATGGCGATTTCACATCCAGCAGGGGAAAGGGGGGTTCACCTGGGGATGGGTGGCTACAGCTGGGGTGGGGGAGAATCTCTCCTGCTCGGCTCGTCCCCTTGGCTAGCCCCTTGTCCCAATGCACCCTCTTGAAAGTCATCAATCAACCCCCAAGATCTCTAGAGCCTCAGAGGCTCCCAGGCTGCTACCCCAGCTGTGTGTTACAGCCCTGCACTTGCCCTGTTCAGCTCTCTAGCCCCCACCCCTTCCTCTCTCCTCTTCCCCCTCCCCTCCCTCTCTCCCGCCTCAGTTTTCTGCACACTTTTTCTGTCCCAGCCTCCCTTTGCACCCCACCATCTGTCTCCTCTCTCCTTTCCTCTGCTTTGTGCTTAGGGTCTCTCTCTCTCTCTCTCTCTCTCTCTCTCTCTCTCTCTCTCTCTCTCTCTCTCTCTCTCTCTCCTCCTCGCCTTTCTGACTCCTCCCAGCGGGTTTCCTCTGCCCGACTCTGTGGTTTGGTCCTCCCGCCTCTCCATCTCCATGGTTTCCAGAAGTATGACCGGCCTCCACTGCCCTGTGGGCTGGAACTCATACCAGAATCCTTTGGTCCAGATGGGGCTGGATTTTGGGGATGAGACTCTTCTCCCTTCCTCCCCCTTTCCTCCCCTCCTCTTCCTCTTTTCCTTCTTTCTCTCCTTTCTCCTCCTCCCTCCCTTCCTCTTCTCCTTCTGTTCCTCTCTGTTTCCCTCCTCTCCTCCCTCTTCCCCTTTCCCTCCCTCCCTCTACTTCCTTTTCTCCTATTCTTCCTTGTCCCCTTCCTCTCTTTTCCTCTTCCTCATCTTGCTCCCCTCCTCCCTCTTCCCTCCATCTTTTCTCTTCCCCTCTTGTCTTTGGTCTAACGGCGCAGGCCACCCTCTTCATCCCCCCGGGAACCACTTCTAGTCCAGCACTGTCCCCCACTTGGGCAGTTGCCTTCTAAGCCCACCTCTCCTAGTCTGGACTCTGCACACACCCACTCTCCCTCTGGTTTAAAGGGTTACAACAGCATCGACAGTCTTCCTTTCAAGTTTTCAGTGGAGCCCTCCAAACTGCATTAAGCAGGGGAGGAGGAAATGGAGCCAATATGGGCTGTTGAAAGGAGCTGGGAGATGGTGACTCCGACTGCTCAGGTCTACACAGGACCGGAAGTGTGAGGCTTCGGCCAACCCCTCTTCCCCCTAACCCCCAAGTGTCCACGGTTGCTCTCCCAGCCCTGGAGAGTAGACGCTGTTTATCTCACCTCGGATGCAGTGAGCATTTTTGAGAGAGTGATTACCCAATGCATCTTTCTTTACAGGGTGCTAAGGACACACTGGAAAATGGGGCTTTTGGTTTGGGGTCTTTGCCATTTCCTGAGGCTCCTGACACCTCTGCTGGGATGGGAGGGACCGGAGACACTAACTGGACTGTTGAGGTTGGATGAGACAGGAGGTTGGCTGTGGATGAGGGAACAGGCACGGGAGTAGCCTGGAACAAAGGGCCCTGAGGCTCTGGGTTCCCCAGGTGAGCCCTGCTGGAAGAGGATCCCTGGGGACACAGCTGTCCCTCCTCTTTTAGGGAACGTTCTCTTGAGGGGCCTGACACTGAAGTGCCTGCTCAGGCAGGAATGGGAAAGAGAAGGAGGCCCCAATTGTTTTCATATCTCATGTTTTAATTTCCCCCAGAAAAATAAAATCAATTTGCATAGAGATTGCTGTTCTCAAGGCAGAGAACCGCATGCTGAGAGCCAGGAGCCTGAGGGTGGGGTCTGGGTGCTCCCCTGCTGGCTTCCCTCTTCCTCCCCCTCCTCTTCCTCTCCACCCCTCCCCTTCTTTCTTGCTTCCTCACCCTTCTTCCTCTCCAGTTTTCTCCCTCTCCCGCTCTTGGGTCTCTTTCCTTCTGTCTCTTCTTTTCCCTTCCTCCTTCCCTCTCCCTCTTTTCTACCCTTCCATCTTCTGCCTTCTTTAGGCTGGTCCTGCACCTCTTCAGCCTGCACCTCTGAA